GGTCAGCCTGTGCCGGGTGGGCGTGTCCCGTCCTGGTCAGCCTGTGCAGGGTGGGCGTGTCCCGTCCTGGTCAGCCTGTGCAGGGTGGGCGTGTCCCGTCCTCGTCAGCCTGTGCAGGGTGGGCGTGTCCCGTCCTGGTCAGGCTGGGCCTGGGTGGGCGTGTCCCGTCCTGGTCAGGCTGGGCCTGGGTGGGCGTGTCCCTGGCAGCCCCGCTGACGGGCCCCAACACTAGCATCGAGTACTGGTTCCGGTGCATGGACCTGGACGGGGACGGGGCGCTGTCCATGTTCGAGCTGGAGTACTTCTACGAGGAGCAGTGCCGCAGGCTGGACAGCATGGCCATCGAGGCCCTGCCCTTCGAGGACTGCCTGTGCCAGATGCTAGACCTGGTCAAGCCGCAGAGCGAAGGTGAGGCGTGTGGGGCGACCCGGGGAGGGACAGCAGGAGGGCCTGCAAGGAGACCCCCAGGTGGGCTGCCCATTGCCAGGTGCCAGCACCGGGCCTCATCTGCAGCACGGGTGGACACCCGAGGAGGCCATGGGAAGGCCCATCCCTGTGGACTTGGGACCAGGTCCTCACTGAGGGTGTCCCAGGAGGCAGCACGTGCCATCACTGGGGATGGGCGCTCGAGTGCAGGGTTCAGCCCTGCCTGGTGTGGACACCACCAGGTCCACTGTCCCGCCCAGCTGTCCTGCCCAGCTCTCCCAGCCCTGTCATCTCCCCGTCCTCTGAGGTCACAGGGCAGGAGGGGTGGCCTCAAACCCAGGCCTGGAGAGGAGGGGCTCCCTGCACCCTAGAGAGAGAGGGGGCTCCCTGCACCTTATATAGAGAGGAGGGGGCTCCCCACACCCCAGAGACAGGAGGACCCCCTGCTCCCTAGAGAGGAGGGGTCCCTGCTCCCTAGAGAGAGGAGGGCTCCCCGCACCACCACCTGGTTTTTCCCGTACCCTTTGGAGGTGACCAGGTCTCTGAGGACGACGCAGGCGCCTGCTGTCCCTTCCTCTGAAGTGCCTCCGACCCCTGGGCAGGCCCCCCGGGGTCCTGGACAGCTCAGATGGTCTTGGGCTGGGGTGTCCGGGTGGCTGCCTGGCCCAGGGCCTCAGGGGCTCAGCAGGCCGGGTGCCCGCGCCAGTCCTCCGGCTGCGCCTGGGGCACAAGCGCCCCCCCGCCCCCTCCGCCCCCCCCCCCCGCCCCCCCCCCCCCCCCCCCCCCGCCTGTGTCCAAAGGCCCCTCCCTCCCTCGTCCCTCTGTCCGGCAGGCAAGATCACCCTGCGCGACCTCAAGCAGTGCAAGGTGGCCAACGTCTTCTTCGACACCTTCTTCAACATCGAGAAGTACCTGGGCCACGAGCAGAAAGAGCAGGCCTCCCTGCTGCGGGTGAGTGGGCGGCCGCCCCCCGGCTGCCGCTGACCGCGGGGCCTCCCGACCCCAACGGCTCCCTGTCTCCCGCAGGAGAGCGACAGCGAGGGCCCCGAGCTGTCCGACTGGGAGAAGTACGCCGCGGAGGAGTACGACATCCTGGTGGCCGAGGAGGCCGCGGGGGAGCCCTGGGACGACGGGTGAGCGCCGCGCCGCGGGCTGCGTGGGAGGGGACAGGGCCCGCCGTCCTGTGTGGTCGGACATGTGGGGCGGACCTCGGCGCCGGGCCCTGACGCCGCGTGCCCCTGGGGCGCCCTGAGGTCTGGTGCCCTGGTCACCTCTGACACGAGGCGGCCGTCACTCCTGTCATCAGGCCGCACCCGGGAGCGGGAACACCCACCTGCGGCCGGGCCTTGGTGAATGGCGGCTGTGCGTGTTGGCAGGGGAGTGGACGGGGAGGCCGAGTCCAGTGCAGCCCGCGGGTCCTCTCCCTGGGCTGGCGGGCAGGTGGACAGGTCAGAGGGCACCGGCTGTTTCCACCGGGACCCAGTTCACCGTCTGCTCGCCCCGGGTCTGGGTGACTGGCCTCCTGGCGGTCCTGGGGCCCAGCTGGCCTTGGCATGGGAGCTCCTGAGGCCCGAGGCTCCGGCACACCCCGTTGGGGGCACTGGGGCGCTCTGGGCAGGGCAAGCCGACGCCACTCTGCCAGCTGCATGGGCTGCCCCCGGTGCCCACTGCAGCCTGAGGCTCCGCCTGAGGTCCCCTGGCCCAACGGTCCCTGGGCCTGGCTCAGCCCCTCAGTGTGTGGGAGACTCCAAGGCCCGGCCCTCCTGGCTGTCCAGGGCCATCTGTGGAGTCCAAGTCCCTGGGCCACCTGGCTGGGCTCCAGGGGCACCAAGTGGCACCTGGATGAGGCACCAGCACTGCAGGGAGCTGCCCCCCAGGAGTCTGTCCGTCCCCACGTGTGTCTTTGCTTGTACCTCCCTGGTCACTCCTGACATTGGCAGGACGCAGTGACCCCACACGCTCATGGTGGCTGGGTCTTTACTTCAGGGATCTTCTCAGCAACCCCTGGGGGACGCCTCCCTGGTGTCCCCTGGCTCCCGCTGCAGAGACCCCCTCCATGCCTGGGGTGGACGCTGGGGTCCTGTCTCTGGGCGGTGATCGCTGGGCATCCATGCGCCAGCGAATCCGTCATCCTGGCCGGTCAAATGCCGGTGTCCAGCCTGCGTCCTCCACCCTCAGGAGCGCTCCTGAGACCGGCCCTGTAAACCGCAGGCCCAGTCCTGTCCTGTGGGCCCTCTGCTTCCCGGGCTGTGTGTCCCCATGTCCCCCAGGTCACTGACCCCTCGGGTCCCTGCTCCCAATACTTCCCTGTCCCTTCCCTTTGTGGAGCAGCTGTGGCCAGTGACACGTGTGTCTCCTGCCACCCTCCCCTCCTGACGCAGCCAGGTGCCCACGAGCAGGTGGCTGTGCTCGGCTGCTGCCTCTTGGCTGTGGAAGTGCGGGTCAGCAGCTTGCAGCCACCTGTGCTGACCCGGGTCACCCCCCTTTCTGGAAACCGTCTTGCTACCTCGGGGTCGTCTCTTCAGCTCGCAGGGACTGACCAGCTGACAAGCTGCCTTAGGCTTTGGGGGAGACCCGAGGCCACCAGTTCCCACCCTGGGGGAGCTCCTGTGCCGAGGCCCCGGGCGGGCTGCGGGCTGGACGTCCCCGGGCTCCCTGGCCCCGTGCGCGCACCCCTTGGGAGCCTGGTGCTGACCGGAACCCGCGGTCTCCAGCGCGGCGCGAACCTGGCCCCGGCGAGGGCGGCCCTGAGCGGGAGAGGGCGGCCCGCCCGCGGTCCTCACCGGCCGCTCCTTGCAGGTACGAGGGGGAGCTCAGCCCTGTGGACCAGAAGCTGAGCGCGCTGCGGTCCCCGCTGGCCCAGAGGCCCTTCTTCGAGGTGCCCACCCCGCTGGGCGACGTTGACCTGTACGAGTACGCGTGTGGCGACGACGACCTGCAGCCCTTGTGAGGCCCTCGCGGCCGTCCCCAGCGGCCGGGTTGGCTAACTGTCCTGTCGTGGACACCGAGTGCGTTTGTACGGAGTGATGATGTTTATTTATTCACCGCGGAGGTCGTCAAGGGTTATTGACGGCGCACGCACGTCCCCACCGCCCGAGGGACTGACACTCGTCCAAGAACTCCAGGCCGCCGGCGCGGACGCTGGCCAGGGTCAGCCGCGGGGCGCCCGGGTGCGCACCCCGGACGGCGCCCCTCCCCGCGCCCTGACGCCGCCTGCGCGCTGAGCGCCCCTCCCCCAGCGTGTGGGTCGCGAACATTCCGCGCGCACCGCGGGTGCGGTCACGCGCGCACACGGGCGTGCAAAGACGACTTCATCTGCTGTGCAGCGCAGCTTACCATGTGGTACGCGGCCACGTTTGTATTTTTGAATAAAGAGTTTAAGGATTTTCAGCCCCTGCTGGGTGTGGTCAGCCGCCCAGGGTCAGCGCCCGGGTCGGGGTCCTTCACAGGGCTGCAAAGCTCAGTGCTGATGCTGCTGCTGTTGGGGACAGCGCTGCCGCGGGAGCCAGCGGTACCCAGGTTGTGTGGCCACACCCTCCATGCCCAGCTGGCCTGCCGCCCGAGGAGTCCACTCCAAGACCGCGGCCACAGCCTCTGCACCCGGGCAGCTGTGGAGGCCACTCGTGTTCTCACGGGTGGAGTGGGCGGTTCAGTCAGAAGACCCCCCCAGACCCATGGGGACATGCCCAGAGAAGGATGGCAGAGGAATCCTGGAGGAGCCAGTGCCCCAGCACCAGGCCAAGGTGTTCAAGGGAGGAGGGTCTGGCCGTCCACACCGGAGCCGGCAGGAGGGCAGTGACCAGCTGCAGGTGCCTCCTGCAGGGCCTCCACACCATGCAGTGCCCCCCACCCCATGCTCCTGAGGTCCCTGTGTCCAGCTGGGAGCCAAACTCCAGGGGTCTTGTGGGGCTCGAGGCAGGGACGCCAAGCAGAGCCAGCAACCGGGGCCTAGGCAGGAGATGGCAGACCCCCCCATGTCCCCACCAGCCTCACCTGCTGAGGTCCCTGTGAACCCCATCCTCGTGTTCCGCTCCCCCCGACGTCGCCTGCACTTCTGGTCAGTACTGTTCCTCTCTGATGTCCTGGCTCCCTACCACGGCCTCCAGAAGGCCCAGACCTGGACTCCAGATGAGACGAGTACCGTGTCACGTCCTCGACCATGAAGGCTGTGTCCTCAGAGGACAGGAAGCCAGAGCCTGTGTGGCTGGGTGGGCAGGGTCCTCCATGCCCCATGCCCAGGGCCACGACCCAGACTCCTGGTACAGCACCCAGAGGGGCACACCTGCTAGAGCTCAGCAGCCCAGGCGCCTGGGGCCTCCTGGCCCCAGAGAGCAGCAGGGAGTGTCCAGGTGCCCTCCTGTGATGGACGGCACCATCCCGGGAACCCCCAGTGTCCGGGGCCGTGTCTGCCAGCCTGGCTGCCTGGTCCCTAGGACTGCGTGCCCAGTACTACAGCCTGCAGTGGATTCAGAGATTTGGGGATCCTTGCCGCCCAGTGCCTCTGCCACCCGGGAGTCCCTCCCCAGCAGTGGGCCGAGGGGCAGCTTCAGACAGGACTCCAGAACCCATGGGAGCCCTTTACTGCAGGGGCTAAGAGATGGCATGAGTGTGGGAGATGGGGCGCCCCCACCTCGTGCTGGGATTACACGAATGTGCCATCGCGTCCAGCAGGATGGAGTGCTTAAGGCCCCTAGTGCAGGCGTCCAGTGGCTCAGGACCACTTTCTGGACGCCAGCGCTCTGGAAACTAACGACAGTGGCTTCAAGACCTGAAACGAGGCGGTCGGGTGGGGATCACGGCTTGGAATGAAGTGACGACCAAAACCTCCCGCCAGGTGGCGCTCAGGTCCCCCGCCTGCTCCGCCCTCCGCTCAGAACCCCGCTCTTGGGCGGCCAGCAGCCCTGGTTCCTTGGCCTGGGCTCCTTGAAGCCCTCGCCACGGGGCGCAGGGCACCGGGAACCAGCAACTGGAGGATACCGACCGCGCGACATCATCAACTCAAGCGAGTGTGCGAGGGACTCGGCCGGGAGCCCCAAGGCACCCCAGGTTCCCCGCGACGCCCCACACCCATTCCTGGGTCGGTTTCCCGTGCCCTCGAGACCACATTTCTCCCCCATTCGGTCCTCCGCCTGCTCCTTCCTTCTCTGCTGTGACAGTTAACATAAAGTCACCCAGAAAGCCCAACCCAGTCCTTGGGTCTGAAGGACTGTGACAGCCCAGAATTAGGGGCCACTGTGGACTGACACCCGCTCTTTTCGGGGAATCAAGGGGGACGACCAGTGGGCACAGCGGAGCACACTACAGGCACCGCCCATTCTCGGGCCAGCCAGTCTCAGGGACCCACCAGCCCCAATCCTGGTACCCAGCTCCCACGCCCCCGGGAGGGAGGAGGAAAGGGGGCCACAGCGGTGAATTCCAACACCTGGGCCCTGGACAGCTGGATGTGCCCACGGCCTGGTGGGGAGGGCGGCTCCTTTGGGACCAGGTGGACTTCGGTGTTTTCTAAATTCCAACTCCGTGGCCAGGTCTCCCCTCTCGCTGGACGGATCTCCCAACTCAAATCCCGGGCCTTTAGGGCTGGACTCTGCCCCACCCCCACCCCCGGCCGGACTTGAGGCCCTAAAGACGACGCGGGGACCCCCGGGCGGGTCCGGAGCCTCCAGCCGACCTCGGGACCTCCTGATCCCCAGGGAGGGACTCGACCTCAGCACACGCGGAGGGGGCCGCGGTCCAGAGCGGCTGCGGTAGCAGACCACGCAGGCAGAGCTGGGCCGGAAGCGAACTCGGCTCTTTAACTGGCCCGGGCTCGGCCTCCCGCCCGCCCATCGCGGGCACGTGACGCAGCGCGACCCACAGGCAGCCCGTCAGAGAGCGACCCGACGCACGACTCGGCCCGGGTCCCCGCCCCTCCGCGTACGGCGCGGACGCGGTATGTGGGCCCTGCGGGCCGCCGTCCGCCCGGGGCTGCGGCTCTCCCGTGTAGGCCGCGGCCGCCTGGTTTCCAGGGCCGCACCGCCGCCGCCCTGTCCCGTGCGCGCGCTCGCCGCCACCGGCCGTTATGGCCCGGGGGGCCGGGAGGGGCCGGGGAGCGCTGAGCGGAGTAAAGCGAATGGTCGGACCACACGCGCGGGAGAGGACGAGGAAGAGCCCGAAGATGAGGGAGAGGAGGAGGAGGAGGAGGAGGAGGAGTTGCTCAGGAGCGACCCCCTGCTGCCGGCCGGGACCCAGCGCGTGTGCTTGGTTCACCCTGAGGTCAAGTGGGGACCCGGGAAGCCGCAGCTGACCAGAGGTGACCGGGACCCGGCGAGAACACAGAGAAAGCGCTCAGATGGCTGAGGCGCTGGGGGCGGAGTCTGCGAGGGGCAGGGACCCAGAGGAAGCGCTGATAGGATCGAGATTCCGGGAAGGCGGAACCTGCGAGGGGCGGGAACACAGCGGAAGCGCTCATAGGGTGGAAGTGTCGGAGAGGCGGGGCCTCAGGGGGCGGGGATCCAGGGGAAGCGCTCATAGGGTGGAACTGCTGGGGGGGCGGGGCCTTAAAGGGGCGGGTACCCAGGGGAAGAGATCATAGGATGGAGATGCCGGGGAGGCGGGGCCTCAGAAGGGCAAGTGACCTAAGGGAAGTGCTCCGCACGGGGCCTGCGAGGGGTGGGAACACAGTGCAAGCGCTCATAGGGTGGAGGTGCCGGGGAGGCGGGGTCTCAGAGGGGCGGGGATCCAGGGGGAGCGCTCATAGGGTGGAGGTGCCGGGGAGGCGGGGTCTCAGAGGGGCGGGGATCCAGGGGGAGCGCTCATAGGGTGGAG